AAAAAAAAAAAAAAATATATATATATATATATATATATGGAGATTCCTCAAAGAAAGTAGAATTTCCATTTGACCATGTAATTCCACTATTAGGCATTTACCCAAATGAAAAAAAGACATTTTACCACAGGGACATTTTCATTAGAATGTTCCACAGCCCTTGCTCAGTTCACAGTCACAAATCACAAAGACACGGAAACAACCCAAGTGCCCATCAACACATGAATCGACAACAAACTGTGGTATATATGTACACCGTGGAATACTATTCATCCCTTAAAAAAGATGGAAATGTTGCATCCTTTGTAACAACATGATAGATTTGGAGAACATTCTCCTAAGTATCACAAGATTGAATGAACAAGCGTCACACGTACTCAGTACTAATATGAAACTAGGAGATTAACAATCACAGACCCACATGAGAGAAAAATCGTAATTAAATTCAAGAAGTGGGAAGAGGGAGTTCTGTAGCTTCCGTCCTGTAGGTACAACGCATGGATACATGGCACAGTCCCTGGGTGCTGGACACTGCTAAAACTCTGATTTTTACCTGCCATGTGTAAATTATATAACCTAATAGTTTGTACCCTCACATTAATCTGAAATTTAAAAAGTTAAAAAAAAAAAAGAAGAAAAAGGAAAGGAACAGGCTCAGGGTTATATGAACTACACAAATTGAGGTTCCTTTTGCTGTGAAGATGTTTTTCCTTTTGCATTTTTCATGTGGCTACATCTTTGGGGCTAAGAACGTATTGGGGCCAGCCCAAGACTGAGCAGACTCTCTCTTTTGTCTGTTCAAAGACATAATAGAGGGCGGCACCCGTAGCTCAGTGGGTAGGGTGCTGGCCATATACACCAGAGCTGGCGGGGTTGAACCTGGCCTGAGCTAGCTAAAACAACAATGACAACTGCAACAACAACAAAAAATAGTCAGACGTTGTGGTGGGCACCTGTAGTCCCAGCTAGTTAGGAGGCTGAGGCAAGAGAATTGCCTGAGTTTGAGATTGCTGTGAGCTATGATGCCCCAGCACTCTACCCAGGGCGACAGCTTGAGACTCTGTCTCAAAAAAAAAAAAAAAAATGGAGCCATCCCATTGTGAAATCCAAACTGTTCTATTTGCATAATGGCAAGGACTCTAGGAACCGGGGTGATGGTTCAGAGGACATTCAGATGCCTTGGTAGATAAATAAACACGGGGGAGTTATCATGGTGGAATCAATTTATTAAAACCAAAAGGTGCTAAGCAAATGCAAATCAAAACCACCCTGATATATTATCTAATCCCAGGAGAACAGCCCACATTACAAAGTCCCAAAGCTGCAGATGCTAGCATGGAAAGAAGGGAACGCTTTTACGCTGTTAGTGGGATTGCAAACTAATATGACCTCTTTGGAAAGTAGTATGGAGAACCCTCAAAGAACTCAAAATCGACCTTTCATTTGATCCCACAATCCATTACTAGGCATCTATCCAGAAGAAAAAAAGTAATTTTATCACAAGGACATTTGCACTAGATTGTTTATTGCAGCTCAATTTACAATCACCAAGATTTAGAAACAATCTAAGTGTACATCAACTCATGAATGGATTAATAAACTGTGGTATAGGATGGCGCCTGTGGCTCAGTGAGTAGGGCACCGGTCCCATATACCAGTGGCAGATTCAAACCTGGCCCCAGCCAAATCGCAACAAAAAATAGCCAGGCATTGTGGTGGGCACCTGTAGTCCCAGCTACATGAGAGGCTGAGGCAAGAGAGTCACCTAAACCCAAGAGCTGGAGATTACTATGAGCTGTGATGCCATGGCACTCTACCAAGGGCAATAAAATGAGACTCTGTCTCTAAATAAATAAATAAATAAAATAAACTATGGTATATGTATACCACAGAATACTATTCAACCATAAAAAGATGGAGATTTTACATCTTTTGTATTAATCTGGATAGAGGTGGAGAAGATACTCTTTAGCAAAGTACCATGAGAATGGAAAAGCAAGCATCCAACGTACTCAATACAGATAAGAATTCAGTGGATGAACTCATACACACCCACACGAGAGAAAAACTCAATTCAATTCACGTTGGAGGGAGAAGGGCAGGGCAGGAGGAAAGGGGGAGGAGGGATTATTGTGCTCCCATCTAATGGACACAAGGTAAGGCACCCCTCCTGGGTGTGGAACACAACTACAACAGGGACTTTACCTAACAAACACAAAGATTGTAACCTAA